TAACACTGCTTTTGTGCTCCAGGGTCACATATGAAGAGTTCATTTGCAAAAACCATGTTTTTTTCATTGTGCATTATCATTTATCACAATTTCATCTGTTTTTGCAAATAAACTATTCATATGTTCTTCACAAGGCCAATGAGTCTAAGTTTGAAAAGATAATTAATTGTGTCATTTTTCTTTTGATAAAAGCTGAAACGGGTCCCACAGACCCGAGCACCGTACAAGGGTTAAAGGGCATCACGGATGGGGTTTTTCTGCTGTGTTTCCAGGATCCGGGTGCGTCTCCTCCCTCGCCGCTGCTGGGTCTGAAGCCTCTTCAGCTGCTGGAGGTTAAAGCTCGAGGACGCTACGGCTGCGTCTGGAAAGCTCAGATGATGAATGATTATGTAGCCGTGAAGATCTTCCCCGTTCAGGTAGACGATACAGACACAAGCCAGCTCAGGGTTCAGTCGGTGTGTGTGTGTGTGGTCTGTAAAGCTGTGTGTGTGGTGTATCGACAGGACAAGCAGTCGTGGCAGAACGAGCGCGACATGTTCTCCACGCCGGGCATGAAGCACGAGAACCTGCTGCGCTTCATCGCCGCCGAGAAACGCGGAAGCAACCTGGAGACGGAGTTCTGGCTCATCACCGAGTTTCATGAGCGGGTGAGGGGTCAGAGGTCATCAGACTTCAGGAAAATATATGAGAAACTGAGACATTTTAAACTTTTAACTCTGAAAATGTAACTCTGTAAAGCCTGGCATGGGAAATAATAATCGTCAGAAAAAAAAGAAGAAAAAAATATGTATGTATGTGTGTGTGTGTGTGTGTATTGATATGTATATAATAGTGCTGTCAAACGATTAATCGCATCCAAAATAAAAGTTTTTGTTTACATAATAAATGTATTATTATATGAATTATATGAATATAAATATACATGTAAATATTTTCAAAATATATGCTGTTTGTGTGTGTATTTATATATACATAATAAATAAACACAGTACACACACATATATTATGTAAACAAAAACTTTTATTTTGGATGTGATTAATTGTGATTAATCGTTTGACAGCACTAATATATATATATATATAAGACTTACATATCGCATTGGATAATTGATATATTAGATATGAAGTAGGTTAAAAATTACGGTAAAAATATCAGTTTTATGCTTTGTCATATTTGTACTAAAATAACTAAAACTGATATAATAAAAAATTTGACATTTATAAAAATGACAAAAACTACTAAATTACTAAAACTGTCAATAAAATTAAAATAAAAGAGAAAATATAAACAAAATCTATTATATTTTTTAAAAAATTATATATTAGATCTAAAAAAAAATCATATGTAAAAAAAAAAAAAAAATCTGTTCTATATTTTGTAATTTGTACTAAAATGACTAAAACCAAAATTGTAATAAAAAATTAATAGAAACTATATAGACATTAAAAAAATAATAAAAACTAATACAAATAACTAAAACTGAAATTAAATGAATAAAAGCTTAAAAAACATAAACATGACAAAAACAACAACTTAAAAAAAATTACTAAAACTTTCACTAAAATTGCAATGAAAACAAAATATAGAAACAAAATCTAATTCAAAATACTAACAAAATTTATAATGGTTAAAGATCACACTTGAGGGGAATCATTTTGTGCAAATTTGTCTCTGTGTTTATTTATGCTCACGGTTTTTATCATCAGAATCTTCAGTGTGTGTAATATATGGGATATTTCTGAATATCAGGGCTCGCTGACGGACTATCTGAAGGGGAGCGTGCTGAGCTGGACGGATCTGTGTCACATCGCGGAGACGATGGCCTGCGGTCTGGCGTATCTTCACGAGGACGTGCCTCGCTGTAAAGGAGAAGGTCCTAAACCGGCCATCGCTCACAGGTGAGTTTAACACCCCACGTCTGCCGCTGAGACCACGCTGATCTTACAGAGATAACTGCAGACCAGGGACGCAGTGGTTTACGGTTTGACGATAAATCATGATAAAATTCCCCACGGTTACCGTTTCATCCCACGTGAAAAAATACTATAGTGTTTTTGAACCATACTATAGTAAAGTACTTGAATTAATTTGTTGTGGTAATTCTATAGTTGCTATGGTAATATAACATATATAGTAATATAAACAAAAAGCTAACTATAGGGTATATTATACTACAATACACTACAGTTTACTGTAGTATAAACTAAAGTATACTACAGTATTTATTATAGCTTATCAGTTCACTATAGTTAATACTACAGTATGCTGTAGCATTCATTAACAAAGTTTTGTAAATACTATAATATATACAGAATAATACACTTTACTATATTTTGGTTCAAAAACACTATTTACTATAAATTGCTATAGTATTTTTTTCATGTGGGATATTTTAATTATCATTAAAACCGTATTCGATTACCGCGATTTGAACAATTGAGGATAAATAAATACTGTCCAGCATAAAGCAGAGTTTTAAGAACCGTCTCACACAGTAGTTTCGTTTTGTGTGAAAACATGGAGGGAAGCTGGGAGGTTTTAAAGGGAATTATACAAATGAATTAATCATATGAATGTACCTCTGAAAGCTGACTGTCTTCAGAAAAGATTCGATGGCATTGTGTTTTTATCTTCGCTCCATGTAAAACCTAATAAAGTAGTGTTTTGATCGCAATGCTGGAGGTTATGAGAAACCGCTGTAATTCTGCTGCTCCAGAAGCGCCACCTGCTGTCAGAGAGTGGATTTACAGAGACTTACATTACACTCAGCTTGTGCCTGCTGTAAATTTTGACCGGTTGATGAAAAACAAGCTTAGTTGGATTCTTTACACATTTAAACAATTCGGATAAGTTATCTAGAATTATTTTTGGAGCAGATAAAATACATATAATCAGCTATCATTTTGACTTAACCCTTTTCTTTATTTAAAGGCTGAAATGTGAGGTTTACCATTTTATGAAATTTATGAAATTTTATGAAATATGAAAGTTTTATTTGAACATTTTGTACATGCTATTAGATAAACTGTTGTCAGTCATGTTGTCATTTAAAATCCGGACAGCATTGGTGATGTTTATATAACAAAAATGTATTTTATTTGTTGTTTGTTGATTTTAAATATAAAACGGTGAAACGATTTCAGCATTTACTAATGCATTATTAAAATCAAAAGTCGTGCTTGTTAACATTAGTTAATGCACTCTGAACTAACTTGAACGAACAATGAATGACTGTATTTTCATTACCTAACATTAACAAAGATTAATAAATACTGTAATAAATGTATTGTTCATTGTTCAGTCATGTTATTTAATACATTAAACTAAAGGCCTTTTCACACTGAATGCGAAAATTCGGCGCGATGACGCTTTTGTAACAATAAAGGATGTTTTTGGCAATAAGCAGTGTGGTGTTATTAAACATACAAACAGTGCATGTCTGCCTATCATAGAATCAACTATAGATCACAATCGGAAGTTATTACAAGCACTCGATGATGGTTTAAAGTGGGTTTTAAGCAAATACATTAATAATTACATAAATGTTCCAAAGAGTGCATGTCTGCCTATTATAGAATCAAAATCAACTATAGATCACAATCGGAAGTTATTACAAGCACTCGATGATGGTTTAAAGTGGGTTTTAAGCAAATACATTAATAATTACATAAATGTTCAAATGTGGCATAATGCTAGATGTTTTCTTGTAAGCATTATAGATAGTTTGTGTTTCTGGCGTAGAACCAAACTTTATGCATCTTAATTTAAATGCTGTATATTGAGCAGCAGACCCATATTCAAGATGCATATCTGAGGAAAAATGCATTGTTGGTTGGCACCACCTAGCGTGCAGGCGTGAATTAGGAGGTGATCAGGTGCCAAATCTGCAATAAAATGCCATTATTACAGCTTTAACTGAGGGTGCTATTGATTTTGCTATTGATTATTGAAACGCGTCTGTCCGTAGAGACTTCAAGAGCAAGAACGTGATGCTGAAGGCAGATCTGTCGGCGGTGCTGGGGGACTTGGGGCTGGCGGTGCGCTTCGAGCCGGGGAAGCCTCCGGGAGACACACACGGTCAGGTCGGGACGTGGCGCTACATGGCTCCGGAGGTGCTGGAGGGGGCCATTAACTTCCAGCGGGACGCCTTCCTGCGGATAGACATGTACGCCGTGGGGCTGGTGCTGTGGGAGCTGGTGTCGCGCTGCAAAGCTGCAGACGGTGAGAGTCAGATGCTTCAGATTGTTCTCCTTTGCTGCGTCCCAATTCGCCTACCTATACTATGCCCTAAAAGTATGTACTCTTTTGTGAAGAAAAAGTACATACTTTTGAGTATGCAGCAGAATAGTTGGCAAGCTTTGGGACAAACTACTTTGTCATAACTGCTTCTTTAACCCTCTAGCGCTCTTCGTTTAGGAGTCACACTTGCCTCCTTCGCGTTCAAAAGTGACCGAAGCCTTGAAATGTAACTTCTTTTTTTTTTTTTCCAGGAAAATCAATGTAATATATTTTTGTTCAATAATATTTTTTGATTATTATTTATGATTTTGAGGGAGCCAAAAAGTGTATCCCATCGTATCTGACCAATTAAAAGTCTGACCAATTCTGAGCATCTAAGCTCTGCACATTGTTCTGTTGCATACTGCTGTTCCAGCTGCTTACGTTCGTTGTGTGCTGTGCTCCCTCAGGTCCTGTAGACGAGTACATGCTGCCGTTTGAGGAGGAGATCGGCCAGCATCCGTCTCTGGAGGATCTTCAGGATCTGGTGGTTCATAAGAAGATGAGGCCTGCGTTTAAAGACTGCTGGCTCAAGCATTCAGTGAGTGACGCGCTTCCAAACCCATAACACACTTGATTCTGGAAACAGCCCTCTATATGATTGCATGTGATATATAATACAATACTTCAGTCATAAAGAATACCAACAAAATTGAAAAAATAATACTAATACTAGAAATAAATATCTACAATTTTTATATATATTTAACAACTTTTTTTTTTTTTTTTACCTGTTACAAATTTTTATTTATGATTCTTGGACTACATTCTTAAGACTAATTTTCAAAGAATATTTTATTCTCCCCAAAAATTTAAACTAGATGCATAAAATTCACTTTAAATTCCAGAGTAAAGGCACATCCATTACCTTAACATTGACACTAGGTTTACAAATAAGCCTTATATTTATATAAAAAAATTTAAAAAATCAATTATTTACACGATTTAAAAAAGCTTGCTTCCTGATTTAGTTGTCTAACAAACCTGACATTATATATTACGAATATTGTTGCCTCTTTGTCAATTTGTTAAATTCCTCTTTTGTAAGTTACTTTGGATAAAAGTGTCTGCTAAATGCATAAATATAAATTTATTTTTTATTTAATTATTATTTATATTTATTACGGTGAAAATTGTGCTGTGATTGTCAGCTTTGTCTGACAACTAAATAAAAAATGTGACCCAGTAAAAATTTAATAATTTTTTTAAATTACATTCTCTTAATTTAATAGGTTTAAATTTAAGATTTTAAAAATTAAACATTTCAATGTAAAAATGATAAAAGCTAAACTAGAAGTCTGAAATATTAGGGAACTTCAAAGTAGTGCTATTTTAGTATAATTGAGATACTATTATAGTTTTTATTAATATTTTGAAACTGTTTTTATTTTTTATATTTAACAATTTCAGTTCATTTCATATTTAACATTTCAGTTTGTTATATACTTTTAGTAGTATGTAATATATTAGGGATGTTCATTTCGGTTATTTTTCCTAACCGACAACCGACGCTCATTAACCGATTGTTAACCGTTAACCGACAAGATTACTTTAAATTAGAATTGAATTAAATTAGAAAGGATAAGTGTCTGTGACCCGTTAAAAAATACTAACATTTGTTTCCCGGGGATTAATTTTACATGCGCAAAAATCAGTAAACAACAGAACAAGAGGATTCACATGCATCACATCACGCACCTGCAGCGCTTCTGCGAGCGGAGAAAAACATCATAAAGCTAGGATATATAACGAATACATAGGCCTATACGAGAAACATATTTTACTTAATAATTAAGAAAATGAAAGAAAAACTGTGCAACAAGTAGCCTAGTATGCAGAGTTTCGGTTCATTTTTGTGCTGCGCGAAAGGAAACCAAGACGGCAGAAAGCGGCATCCTATTTCTCTTTAGGCTAATTTTACAAAAGCACAAAGATTTGTTTTTATTGTGAATGTACACAAATAAAGGCAAACCTTTTACAATCCCGATTATCTTTAGGACTAAAAGGATAGTTTCTTCCACTGTTAGAAGGAAAAAATTCAAG